GCTCCTTGTCCTGCTTTGCTTTTCTCCATGAAACTTTCTCTCTTACCTGGTTATTTGTTTAAAGTCCATCCCACGCACATTTCCAAGACTCCAGAGTGAGAACTGGGGGGTGGAGGGAGGGGGAGGGGGCTGTTCTGGTTCATAGGGACCCAGCCAGAGTGCCTAGCCCAGAGTGTTCTACATCTGCCAAATCGATGGTCAGACAAATAAGTATGGGCCACAAAAGACACACACCGGTGACAGGAAAGACAGGGATGCTTTGGAACGGGGCTCAGAACAGGCACGGTGACGCTGGCGCAGACGGCCTGGCGACTCGCAGGAGGAGACTACAAGGAGCGGTGCACCAGAGGGTCCACACTCTGCAGGGGTGGGGCTGCCTTCCAGGTCTGTTCACCGTGCTGATTTTTCCAAGAGGACAGCAGAGGAGGGCCACACTAGAAGGCTGGATCCAAGAGCAAAGCCACAGAAACACTGGGCTAAACACAAAGCAACAGAGATTTGCTAGTTCAAGCTTCAGCGGCCATCCTGCAGCATGAACACGGGGCTTACCCTGGGGAGGGCGAGAGAGTGATCCAGAAGGAACCTCATATCTGCTGAGGCTCTCAGGCCAGCCAGAAATGCCTCCCTCCAGACTACTTAAATGAGAAGCCAGCCCGAGTGCGGTTAAGCCGGCTTCCTGACAGACCTTCCTGGTGTGCCCTGTCGAATCCGATACAGCAAGGAAAGCTGATGGGAGAGCTTGGTCTTACCCAGCTGTGATGGCGCACACTTAGAACCCCAGCACCAGGAGACTAAAGCAGCAGGGTTTTGAGTTCCAGGCCATCATGGGCTACAGAGCCCATACAGAAAGGGGGAGAGGGGGGCAAGGGTCTTGACCTAAGTTCTACAAATAAGGGACTCCATTTGACAGGGGGACAAAGGGGCTCAGAAGTAGGTCCACAGACAGGGACACCCCCTTTTCAGGCTCTAGGATGATAAGCTGGAGGAAGAAACCAAGGCCCGCTGCCAGGGGTCCAGGATGCTGGATGTGCCAGGGGCACGGGAAGCTTCAACAGGAATATGGTAAAGGGGCACGGTGACGTCAGGACCACTCCCCGCACTGGCGAGGCGGCGGGGCCGGAAGGGAGAGCTGTCAGTCAACAGGAGCACTGCTCCCCGGGGCGGGCCGCGGAGGCCAGGGAGCTTGGGCTGACTCTGAGAGGTCAGCAGGAGAGCATCAGGCTCACCCCAGGAATGCCTGCACCTCTCCATCTAAACGCACACTCTAGGCACCACCCAGGACAGTCTGGATTTTTAGTGAACACATGTGACTCTTGAGGAGTAAGAAGATGGACCATCCAAGCAGCTCCTACACTGGTGGTACCTGGGACACGGCAGGTCTAGATGTTTAGTTACAAATACTTCCACAGGAAGAACATAAAAAGCTAACAAATTCTTAAAAATTTTTTTCTATGATAGTCAAAATGAGATTTTTTCTCATTTTGTGTAAATTAAGTGAATTTTTACCTAATATCTATTTAATTAACCAAAACATAGCCCGAGTTACTAATAATTTTCTCTATCTATTTCCGGTGTTTATCACTTGAAGGTGGCCTGGGAAGGCAACTCTGAGCATGGACACAAGCCCTTTGCCAGCTCACTATAGCTTTGAGGATATCTCGTGGACATGACGGAGTCCCAGGGTCCTCTCTGGGACAAGCCCCAGGCTGTTTCTGGAAGGCTGTGTGCCAAGGATCCACTCCCTCTGGTTCCAACACAATATCCCCTGGAGTAAGCTGTCCTCTGACCCTTGTCTTACAAGAGAAAGGTGACCTTTAAAGGGGAGAAACAGTAGCCCCAATGCTCTGCCCCCTCAGGACCACCTCAAGGCCAGTCACTGCCCAGCAGCCTTGGCCAGTTTCTTACTTCTCCTTCCCTGTTCCTGAAGATCCCTTCCAGCTCACATGACCTGTTTGAGAAGTTCTGATTTTCTTCCCCCTAATCCATGCTGAAAGAAATAATCCCCTGTATAAGAAGTAATCACATACAGAGAGCATGGTGAGAGGCTAGGGACATGGCTTCTAAGAGACATCAGGGCCTGCATTCTTAAGAAGTTCATGGACAGGGCTAGGGGTAGGGCTCAGCGTTAGAGCACCAGCCTACCACTCCAGACCTGAAGGACAGAGCTGGAGCACACTGCAGGCAGAGGAGCAGGCAGGAATGAATGGCTTGTGGTGTGAGGAGCATCCAAACCTAGGAAGAATTAGATCACAGGTAGTGAAGCAAGCCTGCATTTGGGGAGAGGGACTTTTTATCACAGAGACAGGATCACAAAATACGAACTCGTGAGCAATGGGAGCAATGGGACCCCGAGATTGATAAACCTTTACCTGCCTACTGCTGTGTTTAGAACAGTGGTTCTCAACCTTCCTAATGCCGCAACCCTTTAATACAGTTCAGGTTGTGGTGACTCCCCCCCTATAAAATTATTTTCGTTGCTACTTCATAACTGTAATTTTGTTGTTATGAATCATAATGTAAATATCTATGTTTTCCAAGTCTTAGGCGACCCCTGTGAAAGGGTTGTTGGAACCCTCAAAGGGGTCACGACCCACAAGTTGAGAACTACTGGGTTAGAACCACTGGCCCACACTTTCATACCTCAACGGGGAAGGTGGCAGTCCCTTCAGGTCATCTGCAGCAGCCCACGAGCTTTGCACGAGGCCTCGTGGCTGTCCAATGGGCCCCACAGAGCAAAGAAACACCCCCCAGAGCAGGAAATATGGACTCCAGGGCCGGATCCTGATCTTGAGGCCACCTGTGTGGCAGGGCCTGTGATGGGACAGTGACATGACATGGCACAGCCCAGCAGGAAAGGACCAGAAGGGAAAGGGTGAAGACATCCTCTGCAGACCTCCAAGGAGCTGATGGTGTTGGAAGAGGGGCAAGACTCGGAATGGAGAAAGCACCCCAACACTGGGAATGACGTGAGCTTAGGCTCGCAGGCCGGAAGGCAGTCGTGTGTGACCACAGCAGGCTACAGCTGGGATGAAGGGAGGGAACAGATCTGGAAATGTAGAGACCCAAGCTGCTACCCCAGCAGGTGGCCATAACTGTGCTGGTCTTCAAGGTGACCTGGCAAAATCCAAGAGATGCCTAGACGGGCCCTATGGCCTTTTCTCTGAAATAGTAAAGTTTCTCCCATGTCAGAGTCCTGAGGATCAGACAGGGACATGCTGAGTTAGCTCTGGAAAGTCCAGGTAAGTAAGGCAGGACGGGTTCTGGAACGCCTGGTCAAAATGGGAAGCAAGGGCCCCTCCAGCCAGAAGCTCCCAGACCTCCCACAGGATGAAATCCAGCCCAGGTACCCTTTCCTGACCACAGCAGTTATCCTGATGGACACATCTGTCTAGTGCAGAAAACACATCTTCAATGCTCCGAGGAGAAGCAGAAACGGAAGATATGAAGGATCAGGCATGGAAGTTTCCCCAAGAGGGAAGAAGGGACATTCTGGGCAGAAAGGATAGCTGTGTAAGGCCACGTCAAGGGAGTCAGGAACCCAGGTGTGGTGACACACAAATAGCGTAGCACTCAGGAGTATCGAGACAAGTTTGAGGCCAGCCAGGTCAGTTTGGACTACCAGTGAGATCCTTAAAAAAAGGGGGGGGGGGAGCTGGAGAGATGGCTCACAGGTTAAGATCACTGCTTGCTCTTCCAAAGGTCCTGAGTTCAATTCCCAGCAACCACATGGTGGCTCACAAACATCTGTAATGAGATCTGGTGTCCTCTTCTGCCCTGTGGGGGATATGTGCAGACAGAACACTGTATACATAATAAATAAATCTTTTTAAAAAAATATCAATACAGTTAGGACATGAGGTGACCAGCCAGGGCTATGCACACCTGTAATCCAGCACTCAGGAGACTGTGAGTTCAGCTCCTAGCCTGGTCTGCATAACAAAATAATGTCTCCAAAAATAAAATAAATGAGGACATAGGCACATTTCTGGGAAAGAGAGGTGAAGTCAAAGAAAACCAGGCTGACAACAGAGCCTCACCAAGCAACGGGAACATGGCACCGTAGTCAACACCAAAATGCCATGGACCCACCCCTGAAGCCAGCATGGTTCTGCCAGCGGCTCCCGATTGTCACCCAGCTGGGCACAGACACAACAGGGCATGCTGTTTTTGCCTCAGTGCCCTTCTACCAACATCAGGCTCCATCCTTTAAGATCACCTACTCCCTTACCCACTAGTCAGACTCTGGACCCCCTCTGCACAACCTCTGGGTCAAAACAGGGCAAGTAAAGTCGATGAATGAGGGTAACGGGCGCACTAGGTCAAGAGCCCAATCCTGAACAAGCAAAGGCGGGTGATAAATCAGCTGCAGGGAAGGCAGGCTGGTCGGCCCATATCAGCATCTCTTAGCGCTTTCTCTTCCTCTTGAGGAGGAACCTGCAGCTTATCTAACTGGTTCGTGTCCTTAAGGGCAGGAAGGAAAAGGACACAGAGAGGACACGAGAGGGTTTCCACCAAGAACCGAAACGACTGCAATACCCTGAATATTACTGAGAAATTCCAGTCTAACCTCGATACTTCTAGAGGCTTCCCCAAGAACCCCGTCCAGCACTCTTAGCTCAGGATGATGACTACTGGTGTCTTCAAAATGAACAATTCCATCCTCAGAAGCCAAAGAATACTGAAAGGAATGTAGACTGTTAGGGCACTTCTGACCGCTGTGAAGCTAGCAAAACGGGGCAGGCTGGTTCTCCAGTGAATGAAGCGGTGCTGAATGAAGCAGGAGGCGGACTGGCTAACACTACAGGTCCACGTCTGCTTGGGCTGAGCCCGTCTGGCTCTAGGACACGCCCCCAGGCCCGATGTCCAGCATGCTGGGCATGCATGTGCAGGGCAGCAGGGTGGAGGGACTCGGACCGACCGCCGGCGCAGGAAGCGGACAGCGCTCGCTGGAGCCCAAGACTGCTCAGAGTACACACACGGGGCCACCACCCACCGCTCACCTTGCACTTGAAGCCGGCGGCGGGCGGCAGGAGCTCCCGCAGCAGGGCCTTGGCCACCTCGCGGCTGGCCTCCTCGCTCACGAAGTGGAGGTTGAGCACCTCGTGCGCCTCGAACTTGGCGAGGCGCAGCAGCGAGCGCAGCGCCACTCGGGCCTTGGCCTGCAGCGCCGCGTTGTGCTCCGCCTTGGTGAACATCATCAGCAGGTGGTAGTCCACCGGCGCCGCCGCGCCGCCGCCCTCCAGGCTC